TATATATAGTGTGTGTGTGTGTGTGTGTATGCTCTTGTGTGGTTTGTGTATGCGCATGCGCTGGATGTGTGGATACACACACATAAAAAATCTATAACCTTTGTATTTGGCCTTGCTTGTTAGTATATTAAACTACACATGGCTGGGTGATTCGCCGTCTGATCCGGGGTTGGGCGCCGAAGGCTTCACGGCATTATTATACGTAGGAGGAGGCGCAGAAGGCACAGTACCGCTAGATGACGCGTTCATCACAGGCGGCACTATCGCACCCGAGGGAGTGGGTACAAACGCTGCGCTGGGATAAGGTGCCGGGTATGACTGGTTGTTATTTTCAAAGCCATTTGGAGGATGTGCGGCACTGTTGTCGTGTTGGGATGGGTAAGAAGAGCTAGCAGGCGGGGCATAGGACGCGTACATTGGGGGTGCTGAGCCGTCGGGAAAGCCTGGGTACGATGGTTGCTGTTGCTGCTGCATTTCGTACTGATTAGCTTCACCTGCGGCCTGGGCGGCTGCTATCTGAGCTGCTTGTATCTCAGCCTGTTTTATTTGTTCATTGCGTATGTGTTTTAGTCGGTTGTGGCGTTGGACTATGGCAAACAGGATAAAGAGGATCAGGAACACCAACGCAACAATTGAATATGTTGACAGCGACATGGTGTTGTACGTATGTGTTGATACATCCGATGCGTACGGCTATGAAGTCGTAGTGAATCTGGTATAGGCTATCCTAGAATCACTAACTACTACTGGATGAAGTAGGTGATACTCACACATATGTTCATGAACTATTTATGTATATGATTATTGTATAGATTATGAGTATGTATGACTCAGTATGAGTATGACTCAATACGTATCTATATATACCCACAGCCTACGCCCCAGCCCCACAGGGCCACAGATCCACAGATATAACACAAACAAATGTAGTACAAGCGGCCAATCAAATCAACCTAATTTAAAAAAAATATTTTTCGTTTCGTCTCTCTCTTCTCACTTGTGTTGTGCTGAACCACTGGAGGCACAGGTTCACACACGTTCACAACATTCATCGTGGCCTTAATCCTCCTTTCAAACACAAAGACGAAAGGAAAAGCAGGATTTCCTATATATTTAAAAACCAGAGGGTCAAGTATATCGTTCTGATGCAATATCCAATGCTTTGATGGGCGCCGGGGTATCAGAGAAGTATACCGTCGGGGCACTTGCCCAATGCGTTCGCTTCTCGGCCGAGTTTGGGGTGGCCGATAAAATCAGCGAGTATGTTTAGTTAAGAATTGCATGAAAGCAACTGAAAATGTAAATGAAAATGACAGTCAAAGGCACAGATTTAATCACTGATAGCGTATATCTTTACCACTTGACCAATTCAGCTATTTTATTATTATCCCATGGTGTTGTATGTATACAATACCTCT